AATTTTGGGACCCCCTATACAAATCAACGCCTCTTATCTGGGCATCAACATGGGCCTTCTGAACATTTCCAGTTGACATTCTCAGTCTCAGTGACCACACCTCTTTTCTCTATTGAAAGAGAGCAATTTGCAGGAAGTTTCCTTGAAATGAAAAAGTGCATTTTAATTTCTGTGACACAGTGGACCTTATCATTATACAAAACATTTCCTACAAGCCAAGCCCACGGTAATCAAATTCCAGTTAACAGGTCAGGAACATTGTCAAATCAAATTAATAGAGCACTGATTATTAACAGGAGGAGGAGGAGGAGGAGAACAGAAGTCAGTGGGTAAAAGACTAGAATGCCGCAGAGATTAGACAAAAACAAACCAGAAGGGTTGGAAGTGGAAAGGAAAAACAAACCGAGGAGGACAGACAGACTGACAGAATGACTGAGAGAGGGAGGCAGTCAGGGTCAAGGCAAAACAAGGTTAGAAGTGGAGGAGTCATCTGAAGTCCCTGGCACAGCATGCCTGATACTAAGGGAGGAAAAAGAAACAAATAAAAAGAAAACCAGAGGGAGGAAATGCTCAGGTAGGAAGCACAGGTGGATGCGAAGTTGGAAGGGTTACCCCATACAGCATAACTCCTAACCTAGGCTGGCCAGCACAGGGAAGCCGAGATTAGGAAGCGAAGCAGCTGGTGCACTGCGGTGCAACAATGAACCAGGAGACATAAAAGTGGTGTCACATATTTTTGTGCCGCAAAAGTCAAGTGAGGAGTGGAATGTGAATGCTGATGTGTTAATTGCTTGTGTCTGCTGCCTCTCCTCCCCCATAGCCACAGGACAGGGAATTACATTTTATGGGGTGCTAATCTGTGAGCTGGTGCCACTGGAGCCTCCTCCATGACCTGGCATCCAGATCAGTATTTAGCATCTATGTCAAGAAGCAGAGGCAGCACCTCCCTGCTGGTCCTCCAGGGGACCCAGGACTCAGAGCAAGGCTCCTTTGGTTCCTGCGAGCTGGTTAAGAAATTGGAGTGCACACGTATTATTGCCAAGAAAATGAAGACCCTGCCTTCTGTATCCTTTTTCACTCACTCTATTTTTTTCTTCTTTTAAAATCGTAAGGGCTTGGTTGCGTTGACATCTTAACATCGTATCTTTAGGAAAACTGGGAAATGGTTTCTGCAAACTGAAAACATGGGCTCTAGCCAAGGACTAAAGGAAGACCAAGCATCACGTGTACTCTCAGGGATTCTTTTGACACGTTTTTGATGCTTAATAATAAAAGAATAGATTGACCTGGGTTTGTGAATACCTGGCATTCTTCCTATGTTCTGTAGGAAGGCACACATTTCCCTGTGAGATCAGTCATGGAAATAAAAGGGCAGCACAATAAAGGCCAAGGGGTCAAGCAAAAGTGCTAAGATGACCGATGAAAGCCAAGGCCCACAGAACACAGATGCGGGACAAGGATTCTGTATTCCCGTCAGCATTTACTGACTGCCTTTAATGTTTCTCCTCTGTTTCTGTTTGATTTTCCAGTGATTTCCTAGATCAGGTCACCCCCACAATATGAATGTTAAGAGAAAAATACTTGATGAAAATTATATAAATACCCCACCCCCTTTTTTCTCCTTATTTTTTTTCCCTAGTGTAAAATGGGGTCAATAGGACAACAGTAAATTAGAGGCAGTGCTGAAAAAGAGAAGCCCTCGGTCCAATTGGCAGCTCGGCCGTAATGAATGGAAAAGCTGCTGAGGCTTTGCTCTTTGGTTTGGCTGGACATTCAAGTGAATCAGATTGAGCATGTTTTTCAGTAGGATCTGGCCAGGCCAAGAGACAGAGGCCTTGTCTTTCTCAATTTTAATTGACCTTTAAGGTCTGACTTTCCTTAAGGGTTGACTGGTCTAGTCTTGGGACTGTGGAGTCTTTATTAACTCTTAAGATCTTACTAAGGGCGAATTGGTATATCTGAGCTATCCCTTACCTCACTTCTTTGCTCAGGAATGGGAATAATAAATTCTATAGGCAGACTCCAATGTGATAAAGTAGGAAAGATGCTGTTAGGGAGAAGAAGGGAGGTGGTGGTGGAAGGCTCTTCCTCGTGCAGGAAAGGCCAATAAGCCTTTTCAGAAGTGGGTCACTTTTTATCCCAAGGGAAGTGAACCATATAGATAACTCCCCTCATGTAGGCGACCAGCCACTCAAGTGCCATTGGTAGGCCCTCTCTTGCCTCTCACTCTTGGGAGGTGTTCTCTGATGTTCAAAGACCACATATAAATGCGGGGGGTTTCTCATTAAATGGTTTTCTCTTGGAAGATTTTTGGAGGAATGGACAATTCATTGAGTTTCTATTCCTGCAACTGGGAGAGCCTGCGACAGCCTCATTTCCCACAAATACTGGAAAGTGCATTAGCTGTCAACTGTGAGGTTATCAGCCAAAATGAAAGAGCAGTTGGAGGGTACCCTCCCTGTATGTTGTCACTGACACCAGCTGGATGGGGAGCAGCTATTCTGTTAATCAGGACACTGTTGACCATTACCCATTTCAGGGCTGTGTGCAGTGTTCATGAGGCCTGGTGCCTGTGCAGTGGAGCCTCTGGGAAGGGGGCACGGCTTCCCCTCCTCCCGACTGACCTTTTCTATCAACTATTTAGGACGAAGGCCTTCAGAAGGAGCATGCTCCAAATTCATATGCTCCTAGGAGATATTTGATGTTTACAGTATTTGATTACTTGTCTGGATAATCTTAGTGACTCAAGTTTAATTCCATTAGCACTAGAATTTCCACCTAAAATAGCACAAGGCTTATATCTTTCTGTTTTCTATTTCCTTGCTCAGGAGATAATGAAGCTGACTAGAGTCATGCTTGAATAGCTCCAGAAAATCAGAGCAATTCATGTCTGTTCATGTCATATTGTGTTGCAATGTAAGGGCTTTCTATGTTACTATATTGCATATGATTTTTATATTGTATGTCAAACTCCCATCAGTCTAAGATG